GGCCCCGGGAACGGCCCCGGGAACGGCCCCGGGAACGGCCCCGGGAACGGCCCCGCCGGGCCGGCAGGTGCGGGAACAAAGGGGCCGGGGCTGCCCCGGGCACCCCCCCACCCCCCCCCCGCCCCTCCCGCCCCCCCCCGCCTCTCCCCGGCCAGCGCCCGCCCAGCCCCGCAGTCACCCGCACCCCCCGAGCCCCGGCCCCTCCAAGTTTCCCGGCGGGGCGCCGCGTACCTTGTCGTCCACACAAAGCCTGTCCGGGTCCCCTCCGGGAAGTCACATCCTCTCCCGGGCGCCCAGTCCCACCGGCCACCTCCCGCCGCCTCGGCAACACAGGCGGCGTCTCAAGTGTCTCATCAAAGCTTTATGAGGGGCGGGAGGGCAGCGGAGCCGGATCCCCCACTCCCGCCGCCCAACCGGAGCCTCCCGGCCCAGCCCCGCCGCCTCCTACTCGCCGAGCGGCTTCGCCCCCGGCCAGCGGCTGCGGCGGCCGCAGGCACCGCGCTGCCCCGCTTAGAGCCTCCGCACCGCCTCCCGGCCCCGCCACCGCCCCCGCCCCGCCCGCCCGGCCCCGCTCCGCTCCCCTCCGCTCTCCTCCGCTCCGCTCCCCCGGCGCCCCCCGAGCGGGGCGGGGGGGGTGTCTGTTCGCCCGCCAGCGGCGGGATATTGGTTTACTCCGCCGGGTATTAAGCAAGCCCGATCCATTTAAATATCGCTCCCGCGCTGACCTCTCCGTAGTTCGCCTATTAAGAATGCAATCAAGATAATAACAGGCATTGCTTATTAATGAGCGCCCCAGGTAACGTTACACCGGTGACTTTCTGCAGGCGCGCAGCGGGCGCTCAAGTCCCGGCGGCCCCGAGGCGGCTCTGCCCGGACCGGCACCGGCACCGGGATGGGCCCGGGGCCGACACCGACAGCGGGGCCGCCCGTCGCGCCAGCGCCCGCCGGAGGAGACAGGGGCGGGCGCGGAGCCCGTGGATCTCGGGCGAAACGCCCTGGTCGGCTCTGCCCCGCCGTCCGCGGGGTGGATTCCGTACCCCCTAGTCAAAAATCTGTCTGGCCGTTTCCCCCTTCTGCCCGTGCAGCACATACAGTAAATTATTGATAGTGGAAATTGCATGGTGGAGGCAATAATGGCATCCCCTGATTGAGTAGCTCCATTTGATCTTGGTAAAGACAGAGAGATGGCACGATCCCTGGCTGGGCTGGCTGCGGCGAGTGGGAGTGCACGGATGTGGCTGGCTTGGCACAGTACCTTGTGCCACATCCCACGGCACAGCCAGCCACGGGACAGGCACTGACTGCACCCCCTGCCCGGCTTGGGCTGTGGTGGCCCCACCTCTGTCCTTCCCTGTCCCCTCACTGGTAAAATTGGAAGTGGTTGATTTTCAGAAGAAGATATCCCAACTCCTTTATGAATTGGTTAAGACGCACCTGAAGCCTGACTGCCATCTAATTGCAATTAATACCAAAGGCCCAGTCACTCCAGCACACTTCTGGCCATTTATTTATACCAGGAGAAATGTGTGAAACTCATTGCTGCCCTCAGACAGTCTGACTGCTTCTGTGCTTTTGCTATGAAACACCTGCATTGATTAGATTGGTGAAGTAATAAAATAACCAAGGCGTTTGAAATTCAAGTACACCTAACACTTTCCATATAAACCAGCTTTTAATATATATTAAGAGAAAGA